AAGGGATTGCGGCGTGGCCATCCCCCCAGGGGGTGATTTCTTGCTTTCTGTCTCTCTGTCTCTGGCGAGCACTCTATAGCAAAAAATAAAACTCTAAAAAAAAAATAAATAAAATAAAGAAATACTCCCCTTTTTAAACACACTTAGGTTAGGCTCCATCCTTCCTGTTTCAGAACCACTGGGTTTGTGTTGCCGTCATTTTCTCAGCTATAGGGCACATGCACTTACAAGAGATAGAGGGGAAGTGAGAAGGGGTGATGACCACCTTGCAATCTTTTCTCCTCCATTCTCCTCTTGGTATTTTGGTCACGTGCACATGCCTGGCATGATTTTCAAGCTGCTGGATCTGGGACTCTTAACTGTGCAGTCAGCCCTCTGGAATCCAGCCGTTAACCACAATGCCACCTGCTGGCCTGCTGTGGTTTTCTTAAAACAACAAAAACGGGTTACAGACCAGCTTTGAAGTACAGTTTGTTGGTTGGTGCTACACTATGAATTAGCATCTAGACAATTTACCAATAGTAAGTTTTCCATCTCTGAAAAAGCAGAATATCTGGTTTTGCTAGGCCACTAGGCCTGGCTGCAGTTGGCCTGTGCTCAGTGGTGGCCCTATCAAGGAGGCATGAGTTGGGACCAGCAGTTAGCGTAATGGCTATGTCACTGGACTCCCATGTAGTTGACCACGGTTCGCGTCCCGGACCTGGTGGCTTAAAAGTCATGCCAGGCGCATGTGTGTGCGTGCCCAAGATCCCGAGAGGAGAATGGAGGAGAAGGGATTGTGGCGTGACCATCCCCCCTGGGGGGTGATTTCTCACTTTCTGTCTCTCTGTCTGGTGAGCGCACGTGCCCTATAGTGAAAACCTCTCCAAAGAAGAAAAAAAAGGGCATGAACTTTTTAACTGAGAGCTGCACTATTCAGGGGATACCATCGCCCTGTGTACAGGTGAGCAGCTAAGCGACTTGATTGGAGCCTGCAGGTACTAGTAATTGGCAGAACTAGTCAATAAATTTTGAACACAGAACTGATGGGTTCCAAATTCAGTATTTTAGCCATCATGCTCTGCTTCTCTGGAATGAGAAAAAGCTGGTGTTTTTACTTAATCTTTCAGAACGTGTGCCAGTTGAATGTAAGTTTCTCTTTCAACCTATGTGCTGCTAGTGTAACTCACGGGTAGTCAGCAAAATTATTATTATTTTTTTTAAGGAATTATTGTATTGGGCTGGTGGGTGACATGGCGGTTAAGGGCGCTGGACTCCCACGTGGCTGACTGCGGTCAAGTCCCTGACCTGGCAGCTTGCTTTCTCACTCACTCACTCTCTCTCTCCCTCTCTGGGTCAAATTAAGAATAAATAAATGAACAAGATCTAAATAAATATATATATTATTTAACTTTATTTATTTTTTAATTTGACCAGAGAGGAACAGAGTGAGAAAGAAAGTGACAAAGCAAGCCACCAGGACCGGGACCTGAACTGTGGTCAACCACGTGGGAGTCCAGCACCCTTAGCTACCACGCCACCTGCCGGCCCCAGAAAAACAAAATTTTAACCTCAGAAAGAATGTTAGGACTCTTCCCTTAACCCTGTTGAGGGTTACTAGGTTAAAAATATATGGGGGGGGAGGGCGGTGCACGGCAGTTGGCATGGTTCGAGGCTCTGGATTCCCACATGGCAGACACTAGTTTGAGTCCTGGACCTGGCAGCTTGCTTTCTCGCTTTCCCTTTCTCTGTCTACATCTGGTCAAATTAAAAAAATAACAACAACAAATGGAATTAAATAAATAAATAATTTTTAAAGAACAGTATGAACAGGGACCAGCAAATAGTGTAACGGTTACATCACTGGACTCTCATGTAGTAACCGTGGTTCGAGTCCCAGACCTGGTGGCTTAAAACTCATGTTGGGCGTATGTGTTTGCGTGTGTGCCCAAGACCCTGAGAGGAGAATGGAGGAGAAGGGATTCTGGCCTGGCCATCCCCTCAGGGGGTGATTTCTCGCTTTCTTCTCTGTCTCTGTCTCTGGCGAGCACACGTGCCCAATGACCATAAAGCTCTCTTAAAAAAAAGGTGAACGAACAGTTTTAAAGGTGGTTTTTCTTTTTCACAGTGTAACCGAATCATTTAAACTCAGCCCTCCCAATTGCAAAATGTTCCGTTCATGAAGTTCTTTCAGCTAAAAGCTGTGGATGCTTTTAAATGAATTTATTCAAGTCAAACTAGCCCTTTAATTGTCTGTGGTGCATGACAGAGGCCAGAGACAGGCATCAGGGTTGGTACTGCCTGCCCAGCTCCAGGCCCCTTCTTTCTGGGAACCAAGACTGCGGACGCGGGTCTGTGCATAGGTCAGGCTGTGTGCTTTGAAATGCTTTGTTCTTGAAAAGAAAAGAAAAGGTATGAGAAACTAAGAGCTCATCTGTTGATGCCGTCAACGCATCTCCTGGTTCTGGGGCATTTTCCCCCGTCCTGTGTCCATCCCAGTGAAGGACGTCACGCCCAGCGCTGCAGGTCTGGGACTTGCTGGGCGTGGGGCGCACCGTCAGTTGGCGCACGGTGTGCATATCCAGGCCGGCGGCACTGGGCAGGGGAGGCTCCCTTGAGAAGACAAGAGACCCCAAGGTCAACGCGCGCAGTCGGAGCGCTGGACGGCATCTCGGTGGTGACACTGCTGGTCCCCACTGGCCTCACGCTGCCTCTGCTTTTCTGCACAGCTCTGTCTCCCACTCGGTGCTGTCGGAGATGCAGGTGATCGAGCAGGAAACCCCAGTGAGTGCAAAATCCTCTCGCTCACAGCTGGACCTGTTTGACGACGTCGGTACTTTCGCCTCTGGGCCCCCAAAGTAAGGCTAGAGGGAGGGCATAGGCTTGCCTACCCGTTCCTCTTCTGGCTTCTCTGAGCATTCTGCTGTCTCTCCAGGTACAAGGACAACCCCTTTTCCTTGGGGGACAGTTTCAGTTCCCGCTGGGATACAGATGCCACCTGGGGCCTGGACAGGGTGGAGGAGAAGGAGCCAGAAGTGACCATCTCCAGCATCCGGCCTGTTTCAGAAAGGTAGAGTGTTCCAGGCAGCTCTGTCTAGCAGAACTTAGCGATGGGGGACACGCCCTGTCTCTGTGCCGCCCGGTATGGTAGCCACTGGCTGGGGGTAGTGAGCCCTTACAATGTGGCTAGTGCATCCGAGGGACCGAGTTCCCAGGGTGACTCAGTGTAACGTCGGCAGCTGTAATAGACGGGGCGGGGGTTGGGCTTGGTCGGAGCTGTTTACCGTTGGTCGAGCAGCTTTTGCCTGCGGCCTGTGTCTCCAGCCGAAGGGCACGGCTGTGTGTTTCAGTCCTGACCTTTCCAGGGCATACGTGCCTCAGGCCCGCATGTATTTATTCCTGTTTGTTTTGTTTGCTATGGGGTGCATGTGCTCACCAGGCGGGGGGAGAGAGAGAAAGAGTGAGAAAGCACCCCCCAGGAGAGGGGACCACTCCGCAGTCCCTTCTCTTCCATCTGTTGCTGTTTTTGGGATTTGGGGTGTTCACGTACATGCGTCTGGTGTGTTTTTCAAGCTGCTGGGTCTGAGACCCGAGCTACATAGTTGGTCACGCAGGACCCAGCCACCTTAACTACCAGGCCATCTGGCTGGCTCTAGTTTTCAAAACCTTACTGCATCTTAATCTGGGTGACGTTGAGTTGTCTGCACAGAACCCGTGTGTCAGATGGAGACATAAATAACCACTTCCCAGGGAACGCCTGTGAGTGAGTGTCAGAGCGGCCACCTGCCTTGTCTTCGCAGTGGGTGCCTGTGCGGGTGGAAGGCGAGATGTTGCCTGTCACAGTGGGACAGCGGGTGTACGCACAGGCACATGGCACCTGGAGTGGGCACTTCCCAACTTGGTGACGCTGCAGTGGCTTGGGCTAGGAGCCGAGGGCCCCCGGACACATTCTCACCCTGCCCGGGTAGAGGGCCAACGCCCTCTGTGCCTCAGCCTCAGCGTGGAGCGGGGAGTGCCCGGGACAGCCCTGAGAGGTCCGAGTGTGCGGGCCACAGACAGAACGGAGGCCTGGTAGGCTGCTGCCAGAAGACCACTGGTGCTCTCTTCTCTGACTTGCCAGAGGGCCCATGTGCTCCCCGGAGACAGGAGGGGGGAAGGCTCCCCCAGCGGAGGTCTGCCGCAGTCCCTTCTCCATTTCCCCACTCTGTTGGGGTTTGAGCACACACACAGTGTATTTTTTAAGCCACCAGGGCCAGGATTTGAACTGTGAATGGCATGGGGACTCCGACTCCCTTAGTCGCTAGGCTGTGGGGCCATCTGAAAGGCCATTGGTACTTATTATGGCCTTGAACTTCCCCTCGTGGTCATGGGAAGGGTCAGAGATGTTCCGCATCCACCCCTCAGGGCCACAAACCGGAGGGAAGTGGAAAGCCGGAGTTCAGGCCTCGAGTCCAGCGAAGCACGTCAGAAATTTGCAGGAGCCAAAGCCATCTCATCTGACATGTTCTTCGGAAGGGAGGTGGATTCTGAGGTGAGTGCACTTGTCTGCCTGGGGCTGGAGGCAGCAAGGAGCAGCACGAGCTTCCCTTCGCTCCAGGGGACCGGCCTGTGTGGTTCTGGGGTCTCCAGCCAGCAGACCCCCAGGCCTTGCCTTTCCTTCACCACAGTACGAAGCCAGGTCTCGGCTCCAGCAGCTCTCAGGCAGCAGCGCCA